TTTTGTAAAATTCTTATAGTTTCCTAGAAAAAAAATATTGAAGTTGTAGTATTTACAACCCTTACATCGGTGGGCTATTGTACGCAATACGCTTTCTTTCCATGGCGATTTTGAATACTGAAATACGATTTTAGTATTAACGTTTTTGCGCTAGTGTTTACATTAGTTTTTCAATTGTCAAAAGTGGCTTACGTGTATAGCAACTCGGCATTGAATTTATGGTGAAGCAAGACAACATTTGTGTTATTTCATATAAACTGGATAACACGGGCCCAAATGTGTTTAGATGTCGGTGGACAAAATTTTAAACAATTGTTGTAATATCAGGTATGTCAAATTATTTTACTAATTAAAACCACAAGTTAAGGTTATTAATTAATAATAACAATAATGGAAAAAGCAGTAGAATTCGCTGATATAAAATCGGTGTTAAAATTTTATTTATTTCTTTCCTTAGAAAAGGAATTATTTCAATTTTTTTTGTCCGTTCATTTTTTATTACACTTTGCCGCCGTGCTGGCCGCTGACTGCGTGCTTTGCCTTGAGCAAGGTCAGGCTTTACAGTGGACCAGTTTCCAGTGCCGCACAGAAGTGTATTTTTAAATAATTTTCGAATTTTCTCTTGATTCTTTTTACAAAATTTTTTTGTACATTCAAAATTTCTTTGTATAAGTTCTGAATCACCCTGTATATTTTCTTGAAAAGCATAGTAAATTTCTTCCTTCAATTTGTTTTCGCCTAACTACTTCCAATAGATTGTTACACATTTTAGTAGGTGTATTACAGATAATAATTAACAGTAATATTAATAATATTACTATTACTAGCTGAATTATTTAATAAAAATTATTTTTTTAAAAGTGAAAAATAAAAGACTTTTCCTTCTTTTCTTATAGGTACTCATATTTTCTATATACTATATGTTCTACTTGCCGTTAAACTCTTACAAATGTTACTGACTACTTGCTTAATTTTATATAGGTACAGGGTGTCCGGAAAGGTCATATCAAAAATGAAGGGGTATACAGGGGAGGTCAAAATAGTTGTAGTACGTCATAAAAAATTGTATGCTGTTAATTAAAATTCGATTTTCTCAAAAACGGTACAAGATATCGATTGATATACGGTATATCTTTTTTTTAGCAAAATGAGAGAGGAATCCAATTATGGAAGCAAATGTCAAATTTGGCAACGCTGTCAAAGATGTATAAATTTAAATGGATAATTTCGTCTGCTCCTGTATAATCCAGGCACATTGAATATCAGTTTAAACTTGGAAATGAACATTACCGTGAGTTACTTTAATTGCCCAAATTTCATTGTTGTCATGGTAATGGCTTAGAAGTTATAATTGGAATTTGTTTTTCAAACTTCTTTCTTTGTAGGCGAATAACTCCACAACGAAGCCCGATTGGAAAAAAACGGAAATACTACATCTATTTTGACCTCCCCTGTAGACTTCTTCATTTTTGACATGACCTTACCGGAAACATTAGAAGCGACAACTAAAGTAGGTACCCAATTTTTTTAAATATCGAAGAATACCACTAAGATAGTCGTAAATGTGAAGTAATGATTATTTTATGAAACAAAAATAATGACCACATACGTGATTAAACCAGAAGCTTATTAAACAGATGTTTATTATTTAATTAAAATCCATTGAACTCAGATCGGGACATTTGGGATGTCGTAAAATTCTATTGAATTTTCCTGCCTCGTTATCGAATTATGAATATTCTGTTGAGATATTCTGAATTCTGAAGTCCTATGTGATATTATAATTTGAGAATTTTGCATGTACCGATCTCTGTAACAGATTTCAACAGAGCAATACAATTTGCAGTGTTATAATAACTAATAGGATTTCATAATTTAAAATAACTCTAAATACAATACATAATCCAGTAATAGAAGAGAAATTATGTAAATTTGTATGATCTCCTAGAGGTACCGACCTGAATTAAACCATTTTTTGTTAAATACCATTTCTAATATAATTTCGAGAATAATAAGTGGGCTTAATCTACCTAACTGATATGAAATAAAGTAATAGTTTTCTTTACAAAACAATCAAAACTTCATATTCACAGTTTTCTAGGAATTACTAACAATATCGCTTAATGACATTATGGCAATGGCAAGATACTATTTGAAGATTGGGGAATTTTGCTGGGGAGGTCACTTTTATTTTTTTTTTTAAATTTAACATCCTGGTTACAAAGTCAGGAGAGCAATAATATTTTTATGAGTTTGAGGATAAGAACGATTTTTTTTAAGAAAGATATTTTCTCATAAATTTGCAAATAAAAAAGGTTTTTCTCAGAGCATAATCGTGGTACACAATGTATACTTATATACTATACTCATAAATAACATTATTTTCCAAAACCAAATCCTGTACATTATTCTTAGATTCATTTGTAAAAAAATATTATAAGAGTAAAAAGTATATAACGAGCGTTCAAATAAAAACGTGGTCGAAGTTGGCTCTGACACATTGGACGTAGGGAGTAGCTTATAGCGACCAACTTAACCTCATTTCTCAACGAGCTGTATAGCAGCTGTCAGTTTCAATAACGTTAATGACTATATAACTTTATTTTAAAGAATAATCGTGATAACAATAACAAACAATTAAAGGAGCTGCGGAAAGTGTCCCCCTCCTTGTTATAACAATAAATTAAAGCAGCTGCTGAAAGTGTCCCCCTCCTTGTTCCAAGCACTTTTCACACCTGTTCCTCAAAGAATTAAAGACATTTTCTAAGATGCTCGGGGTATTGTTAATTTCACGAATCTTGTCTATAAGTCGAGCCTGCAGATGGTTTAAATCAGGAATAGGCAGTTCAAAAATAGTGTTTTTAAGGTAAGGCCACAAAAAGAAATCACACGGCGTAATATCACATGACCTCGGTGGAAATTCATGTTCAGCATTGAGACTTATTAGTCGATTTTGGAAAACTTCCCTCAACATATTCATCGTCTCGCCTGCCGTATGTGCCCTTGCGCCATCTTGTTGAAAGTAAAAGTTTGTAATTTCGTTTTCTTCCAGCTGGTTAACAAAAGGAGCGATAATTTCTTCTCTATACCTTTGCGCAGTAAGAGTACCATTAAAAAAAATAGGTCCATAAATCCTCCTTCGATTGAGAGCACACCAAACTCCAATTTTTTGAGCGTGTAGAGGGCCCTCGACAAAAAAGTTATCTGGTTTTTCAGAAGACCACATTCTCATATTCTGTGAGTTTACGTAACCACTTAAATGAAACCAGGCTTCATCAGAAAAAAAGGTGATATTATGAAGTTCACCGTAGTTGTTTAAAAACCATTCACAAAATACAGCCCGTCGCGGAAAATCAACTTCATGAAGTTCTTGCTGACAAGTTAAACGATAGGAGAACAAACGCAAATCTTTTTTTAACACTGTGTGGCAGGTACCGACTGATACTCCCACCATTTGTGATAAAACACGTACAGAAGTTCTTGGCGCATTTTCCATTATTTGTTGGACATTTTCTTTTAATTCTTCAGTCCGCTTTTTAGGTCGGCCGCTTCCTTCTTTTCTTGTTACACTGCCCGTTTCACGAAAAACATTAACACAACGCTGAACTGCACTTTGAAAAATTTTGTACTCAACAACGCCGGGAAATTGATTTTGAAATTCTATGAAACATTCCTCAATAGAATACTTCCATATTCCATCAATCTTGCGTCCATTTCTAAAGTAGGACTCTATGATAAACACTTTTTGTTCTTGAGAAAACACCATTTTAAACGCTTTTTAAAACGAAAATATTCAAATTGATAGCGGCGATATAGCGCTTTGACAGATGACGTTTAAGTTCATTTGCTATACGCTACGCCCTACGTCCAAATTTTCAGAACCAACTTGACCACGTTTTTATTTGAACGTTCGTTATAAACTACCTATTTATTCTGAATAACGTCAAGAAAAACATATTAACATATTACCCAAAAAATGAAATACAGGTATATTTCAAAAACTTAAGAAATAATATTAAACAGTCAATCAAAAGTGACCATTTTTAAGAAATCGTAAAAATATGTTAACTTTTCTTAAAATTGTCAACACCGCACAATCGTGACTCAGATCGTTGCGTTTACTTCCATTTTGAACTTTAAAAACAGTATTTTTGTTTCAATTTTGTGTGAAACGGCTTCATATATGGATAAAGTATAAAAACAAAATTATAATTTCTTTGGCTTTGGATAAAAAGCCACAAAAATCTCGTCTAGGTGGGAAGTCACCGAATAGAATCTGCTTCATCAGGGTGTACAATATGTTTTTCCACTTCAGGACCGACGCGACATCTTGATGTTGCTCACGTCTTACAATATATAGGAGCACATTTCCTGCATTCAAAAACGTCTGAAAAATCTGGACAAGAGTTTGTCCAGCTAGAAATGGTCTTCCTGAATAACTTGCCTATATTTGCTCCAGCGTTCATTAAGTTTTAGCGAGAGAATATTTACGTACAGAATATGTTTTCCAATACACTTAAGACGGGAATATGCGTTTTACTATTTAAAATTTTAATAAATGTTGCTATTTATACTCTACTGTCATAATTACGCTTTGGTAATCAAAAGATCATAAATATATAATTATTTTACTCGAAAACAATTAAGTTTTGGATAATGATATAATAAACTATTTTAGTGAAAATAATATAGTGTCGAATGTTATACAAAAAAGTCTGAAACAACCCGTATTTCTAACCAATGTGGGACCAATAAAATAAATTAAATGTCAAACCAAGTAAAATAAACTAATTTATAACACTACCTACATCATTAACTACTTGGATTAAGGAATCTCTGTATCAGTCACATATTACAGATATTTGAGACGTGAAAATACGAAAAGCTAAATTTGTTGTTTTTTCTACTCTTACAATAGATTTAACTTTCTAAGATTAGTTACGATATATTTTTGGTAACTCCAACAACGATTGTAATAGGTATAAGATGGCAATACTTACCTCACCTCCCTGAGGATCACGATCAATATCGTACTGAACGACGAATTGCCCAGCAAATCCGTCAAATTCACTATTTCCTAACCCTGCACAAGCAAACTCTAACTGGCGATTTATATCTGGATAGAATTTCACTTCAGCTGACGTATTTGAAATTTTCACCTTTGCATAAGGGTCCAATTGGGTCGTGTTACTGTTTTGAATTATTACATTCCCGGAACGCAAGGAAGGAGTTCTCACGAACAGAAGAGATCTACTCTCTTTTATATCTACCTATAAAACACATGGTTTCAAAAACATATTAAATAATACAAGCAAAGTGTTTTCTAAATATATGTCATATACACTGTGACCACCTAGTGCGCGTAAGTCCAATATCTAGGTTAATAAAATATTTAACTTAATTTTTTTCTACAGAGTTGCACTAAATGAAAATATATTTGCATATACAGGGTGTTCAGTTTTTCCTGGGCAGGTACCAACTTAATTTTTTTTAATGGAAACCTATATTTTTTGGCATTATCGAATTCTACGTGAAAAATTAACGGGACTTTGTGTTATGATCCCTATTAAAATATTGATAGTTTTTGAGATAATCGACTTTTCATTTTTTTTTCTTATGTTTCGTCACTTCTAGTAGTTGACATAATTATGACTGTATGACAGCAAAAATTTTTTTTTCAGGAACTGTAGAATGAAGATGGCTCTTTCAAAAAACGTATCAAAACTTGACCTGCGATATACAGGGGGCAAAAAAATCGTGCAAAACCTGATAATTTAAAATTTGAAAAATCTCGACTTTTTCAAATAGAACACCCTGTGTTTTATGATTTCATTAGATGCCTTTCTGTAGACTACAATTTTTTAATAGCTTTCCCTATACCTAAATTGCATAGTTTTTGCAAAAAAAACCATTTTTATGTAAAATACCGGATTTGCGCCCGTTCCTTTGTCGGGAAAAATATTGTAAGGGTATTTATTTTTATTAAATTTATTAGTTGTCTAGCTACACTATTTAAAATAAAAATTAATAACTGAAAAATTTAGATATTTGAGTTTAATAAATAAGTCTTTATGGAAAGTTACCATTTATTTGTAAATAAAATCAAAAAACCATAAAATCGCTACAAGTGATTAAGAATTAGCAAAATATGGGAAATGTTTGCTAGCAGCACGTATTTACAAAGCAAATAATCCAAATTTACAGAGATTCCCACTGTTTTGAAAATGTGAAGGAAAGGTTTGAATGAACAGCAAATGCGAATTATGAGAAAACTACCAGGAGACATGAAAGTAACAACGATAATATTTAGTTTAAAGTTGTGGCGTCTGCTGTTGAAAATCCAAATATTAGTGCCAGGAAATTAGTAGTAACCTTGGAGTTTTCAAAAGCTTGACAAATAAAATATTGAAGAAGAAGTTTCATCCGTATCATATTGAAAATCAAGCACTGTTACCGTAGTTAGGAAAGTTATTAGTGAAATTGGAGATTAAAAAATTTGGATGAATAGAATTTTGAAAAAAGAATACTCATAGTCGCAAGCTAACTTAAAATAAATACCCTTACAATATTTTTCCCGACAAAGGAACGGGCGCAAATCCGGTATTTTACATAAAAATGTTTTTTTTTGCAAAAACTACGCAACTTAGGTATAGGGAAAGCTATTAAAAAATTGTAGGGTCTACAGAAAGGCATCTAATGTAATCATAAAACACAGAGTGTTCTATTTGAAAAAGTAGAGGTTTTTTAAATTTTAAATTATCAGGTTTGGCACGATTTTTTTTGCCTCCTGTACCTATATCGCAGGTCAACTTTTGATACGTTTTTTTGAAAGAGCCATCTTCACTCTACAGTTCCTGAAAGAAAAATTTCTAGCTGTGATACAATCATAATTATGTAAACTACTAGAAGTGACGAAAAATAAGAAAAAACATGAAAAGTCGATTATCTCGAAAACTATCAATATTTTAATAGGGATCGTAACACAAAGTCCCGTTAATTTTTAATTCGATAATACCATAAAAATATAGGTTTCCATTTTAAAAAATTAAGTTGGTACCTGCCCAGGAAAAACTGAACACCCTGTATATGCAAATATATTTTCATTTTGTGCAGCTCGGGAAAGTAGGCAACTCTGTAGAAAAAAAATAAGTTATATCTTTTATTAACCTAGATATTGGACTTACGCGCACTAGGTGGACACGGTGTATAGGGTGTTAATAAACTTATGTCAAAAATTTAAAGCAGTAAAAATGGAGCAGAAACTAAGTTAACTGATGTTACAAACTTGTATCGGAAGTTTAAGGTCATAGAGAAAACAGCTAATTAAAATTGTGTTTGAAACTGCTGAGATACACGTATTTTATCGCGGCGAGTACTTACAAAAAATTCTGTAACACTTTTTACGAGTTGTAGGTTTCTTATGAAGCCGGACTGTATTCGAGGTTTGTAATACATTGTTGTAGTGATTGCTGTGCTGTTTTTCAAGAGTACATTTAATAGCCGTATTTCCAAGTTTTCCTTTGAAAATGGCGCATTTATTTAGCAAATTATATGTTCATAATTTATGGTGAAGCAAACGAAAATGCCCACAGAGCTTGTCAAGTGTACCGTGCAAGATATCCTGAACGACATGCCCCCGCACCCCGAACATTTGTTGCTGTAGCGCAAAGAATTCTGGACATCGGTGAAGTACAACCACGTCAAGGTTGCGACGTTGGCCCAGGGCGACCACTAAGAATCTTAAATGCCGAGAAGATGATCTTAGATCTCGTTGAAGAAGATCTGCATCATAGCACCAGAAATATCGCACAGCAAGTAAATATTTCGCATCCTGTTGTGTGGCAGACATTACGAGAAACTCAGTTGTACCCATTTCATATTCAACGTGTTCAAGCGCTTTCTCCTGAGGATTTTCCGCTACGACAAAGTTTTTGCGAATGATTGCTTCAGCAACATGCAAGAATTCCTCAATTTACAGCGCAAATACTTGTTACAGATGAAGCATATTTCAGTCGAAATGGTGTACGTAACATCCACAACACTCACCACTGGAAAATCCACACGAAATACGTCTCGGTGTTTTTCAGCAACAGTTTTCAGTGAACATGTGGGCCAGTATCGTTAATGACATTTTAATAGGACCTTTTGAATTACCCAGACGCTTATATCTAGATTTTTTGCAAAATCGCTTGCCAGAGTTATTGGAAGACGTGCCATTAAATGTTCGGCAAAATATGTGGTTACCGCATGACGGAGCCCCCGCTCATTTTTTTCGGAGAGTGCGCGACTTTCTAAATATTACTTATCCCGATCGCTGGATAGGCCGCGACAGCCTAATTAGATGACCCTCCCGGTCTCCGAACCTCATCCCTTTAGACTTCTTTTTGTGGGGATTTGTGAAAAGTAGTGAAAAGTATTGTGTATTCCACGGAAGTTCGTGACATAGATCAACTGCGACATCGTATCGCGGAAGCTTGTAATGCGATTCGAGAGGACGTGGCAATGTTGCAACGCGTGCGAGCGAATTGGATACGTCGCGCTGAAGCAGAAATGGTGGGTACATCGAACATCTTCTATGAAAATCAGCAGTTCTCAAAAGTTGGCTCCTTACAATGTGGAGGTAAGTTAGATTTTAAAATTACATTTTACTCAACACAAATCCGTGCATTTACCTCATTTTAACATAACGGACATGTGGCAAAAATATTTGACATAAGTTCATTAACACCCTGTAGGTTCAAGAGACTCTTTAGACAATTTAAGGTTCAATAAATTAAGAGTTTAAAGCTACTTCAAGATACAAAAGTTACGGGACAAAATATAATAATAATAATAATAATAATAATAATAATAATAATAATAATAATCGTA